TTCACTTTTGGCCGTCCCTTAGGCTAGATAGAATTCCCGCACATCCTCCGTGCTTAATTATAACCTTTTTACATGACGAAGTCATCTCAACTCTTCGTTGACCTTACCATAGATAATCTCCAACTATGAGATCTATCCTTGATCTCATCTCAACGTTACTCCATTCCATTATACCTCATTCCTTCCTCTCTACACTTCCTCAACGTTTTCAATTCAACGATTCCACACTTTTTCTTTTTCTTGACTGATTTGCCCAGAACCTCCTCTGGTTTTTACTCTTAACCATCGAGTATAAGATCCGTCCTGATCTTACTTTAACTTTTTCCTTTCTTCCTCTTCTAAGTCTGGCTTCCATCCAAATTCCTTCCCATTATGAACAAGTCTTCAATCCTTTCAACCTTTACTGAGTTCTCTTTCCCCCCCCCCCAGACTCATTCATAACCTTTCCCATCATCTCCTCCAATGATCAACCTTAAGCACTCTACAACTTGGGTTACAGTAAGGTTTTCTAAGGGGTACTAAATAAGATTTTGAATCTCTAAGACTTAGACTTCTCAAAGTCTAACTCAAGATTCCAGAAATACTTATCCTATAGCAACACTTCCCTTTAGCTCTACATTTCCTTCCCTAAGGAAATAACCGATTCACGTTCTAGTAGTACGGCTAAACGCAACACTTAGCCTTAGCCAACCAAGACTAACAGCTTAGTACTCATGCATAAGACTCTTACAAATGCATTCATGCTTAACTATTCATTCACTCTAAAATAAGCATAGGAAATGCAATGCAACATAACAACCAAACTGATTGAAAAGCATTCATTACAAAATATTAAGGTTCCACCTAACCAAAATATTACATAAGTTTGTAGATACAATTCATCCGCAAAAACAAAGTATTACCAACTGAACCATACACATCAAAATTTGGTTCTGGCCAATACTATCCATCACTTAGTATTTCACATACCTTTGCCATTACGCCACATTAGGGCAATGGGGTTCTAAGGTTTCTACATCTAGAACATAACATATCCCCTAAGGTTTGTTGTTCCATTGCTTGACTGCTACAAGTGTAGCAGTTCACCAAACTCGGGTTAATGGTACTGTATCTCGACTGATATCGAGGCGCATAAGGACAAGCATACGTCCGGTGTCCATACTGCCTGTAAAAGCGACAGTAGGTCCTAACGTACGATGATGGTCCAGCTCCATATCGATGTTTCCTCTTCCCCTTGGTGCTGAAAACCCATACTCATCTCCTGCTGATCCATAAGGCCAACGACTAGTTTTTTCTTGAGTCATTCCTCTCCCATACCATCCCGCATCATTTCCATGAGTCACTGGATTGGTCTAAAAATATGTTGGCTCCCAAATATGTCCAAGTCTTTGGGAACCAAACCCGTTGCCAATTCGACTTCTTACTCCAAAATCATCCATCCTTCTTGAAGATTCTATCCCTTCTCCAAAACCTTGTTCTTCCAAGGATCGAACTGGATATCCCCTACTCGCGTTCTGTCTCGCAATGTAGGCTCCAATTCCCATTGTATCACTTTCCGATGATGCACCAGCCATACTCATTCCTTGCTCACCGGAAACGGTTTTAAGTGGCACTGATAACACTTCCGCTGCACTTATCCCTTGCCTACTCGAAACCGACTGATATGGGGCCAATGGTGCCCCGGCCATACCCATCCTCAAACTACCAAACACTGTCTGAAGAGGGACGGTAGTGTACAACGGATCCTCCTCCTGAGATCTGTCTGGGGTCCAGTACTCATTCCAGAAACGATCCATATCCTCAACTATCCCCGCCGATGCTTCATAATGTCGCAATGTCGGATCTTAATCTTGCGAAGTGCCATGGATTCCACCAGGACTGGACTATCACTTCTCTCAAGTGCCATGGAACTATCCGAAGATATATCAATGTACATGGGCGAGTTTTGTGTCGAGACGGGCACTTGTGCCGGCTCAGGACCAAGGCCAGGCAACACATTCATTGGTTCCTCCATAGGATCCTCCTCTGACTCTTCTTCGGGTTCTGTTTCCATACTTTCCATACTCTATTCCCGTTCATCACGATATGCACCCAATCCATGGCGTATTGGTGAGAACCGCGGCTCTTCCGATTCCTCAGATTCCGTGGGAAACAATTGCTCATTGGATTCCTCATGCTCACTCGGCGGTGCCAGCCTGTTCACACATCCAGACTGCCCAGTTTCCTTTGAACTATCTTGTTCTTCCATTGCAGGCCCAATCACACCATCAGACGTGTCTTCACTTCCCGACAAGTCAATCACTTCAGACCACGACCCACCCCTCCTTACTCTCCTTGGCGGCATCGTTCCTGAATCGTAAGGAA